TGAGTTACTTTTTTCTTGGTTCAATATTAAAGCAAATCAAACTTTGTGTCATATTTGAGCTAGTGTGTGAGTAACATGTTTCAATGATTTTTTTTTCTTCTAAATTAAGTATAGTGCGCCTTTAATTTAAGCACAGAAAATATACCGTATGTAATGTGAAACCCTTTTAGAAATATATCCTTATAGGTGGAGAGATATTTTCTGTCTAATTTAAAAACGAATTCAACTTTTCCTTGACATTGAGCCATGGTGTTAGTTGGTATTAACTTAGAAATAGTGTGGGACTTTGATCTTTATTAATCTGTGTTTTACTTGTATTTTCAGGGCTCACAAAGACAAGGAGACATATATATATTAACTACATTGCAAAATAAGTAACCAATGCAATATGGATGAGAATATAAGTTGATTGGATAAATAATTGCACTATTAAGGAATGCAATAACCTTGAAGATAATTTCAATAGAAATTCTAATAACAAGATGAATCCAAAATGTGATGAGTATGAAAGCAAAGACAGCAGAAGACAGGAATACAACCATTATGTCCAGTCGGTTTTTAAGCTAGATATGGTGAAAGAGGAGTCAATGTCACCATCCAATAGGTCTCTGGCAGATGTTGAACACAGTCTTTTTTGTCAGAACTACAAACAAGAAATAATAGATGATTATCAATGTTTTAAAGTCAAGAATGAGGAGGGTCATCACATGTCTAACAAGTCTGTAAATGGAATGGATTTAGTTCAAAAGGAGACTATATTAGATCAAGGACCATTGCTTTATCCTCACAACTTCAAACAAGAGATACCATTCATGGTCAAGGGAGACATGATGACACCATCCAGTAGTGCTACATCAGATATTGAACAAAGTCGTCATTCACAATTTATCAAACGAGAGATAAAACATGTTGATCAACATCACATATGTAACAAGTCTATAAATGGAATGAATTTAGTTAAAAATGAGATTATATTAGATCAAGGACCATTGGTCTATCCTTA